GCCAATGCTATTTTTCGACATTACTCGATGAAATAAAACATATTATGACAAAATTTTATTAAAATTAAGACATGAGACCGGCTACAATAGTTAGATTTCTAAAGAAATCTACCTAATAATAAGGCTCCATTGCATCCAACCCAATATATGCTTGAAATCGGTTTACAAATTCAGAAAAATCTTCGAAAATTTTGAGTTCCCGTTAAAACGTCATTACTTCTGTTCAGAGTGTTATTCGCGGTTAAAAACTTCTAAAGAATCATGTCCAAATTGTCCTAATTCTGAGGTTTCATATTTTATAGAAATTTCATTAGTTGCTCAATTATTGAGATTATTCAAACGGGTTGGATTTTATGATTCTTTGAACGAACGTTTTACTCGTCAAAAAAAAAATGACGAAAATATTGAAGATATTTGGGATGGACACATTTATAAATCTTTAGCTTCTGAAAATGGATTTTTATCAAATCGAAATAATATTTCATTTATGTGGAATACTGATGGTGTTGCTCTTTTTAAATCTTCCAAATTTAGTACTTGGCCATTTTTTCTGTCAATTAATGAACTACCGTTCCGTCTCCGACACCAATTGCAAAATGTCTTGGTTGCTGGATTTTGGTTTGGGGCGAAAAAACCGAATGCTAATCTCTTTATGAACTCATTCACGGACGAACTGACTAGAATATAACAAGGTATTTTTTCGAAAATTCCTGGACGTCAAGATCGTGTAAGGGTTCGTGGGAAGATCATATGTGGAACGTGTGACTTACCAGCTAAAGCGACTTTTTTGAATCTGAAAGGACACACAGGCATTTTTGGATGTTGTAAATGCAAAATTAAAAGTGTTAAAGATGGAAATTTCCGCGTATTTCCATTTAAAAACAAGCTAAATTTAAGAACAAGCGAAGAAACTACCCAGCAAGGAACGCAAGCATTTCATACAAACCAACCGATCGAAGGTGTTAAGGGGGTATTCTGGTCTAGAAATTTAAAAAATTCGAATTTTTTTTGCATATTTCCAAATTTTAGACCCTTAAAAATATGTCCTTAAGTGGATTTTTCAAAATTCGAATTATTTTCGGAGATACAGTGGATTTTGTGACGCAGCTGCTTCTGCTTCTGCTTCTTCAATAGAAGGCAGAACAGCTCGATTAGCAGAAAGAACTTCGGAAACGTCGAGTAGGAAGTAGAAGAAGGCCCAATTTATGGATCTAGGATTCGCGATTAATCCAAAGTGAATATTAAATATTATTGTGAGTCATTTTACTGAAATTGTTTCTCAAACTTTAAACGCAATTTTCTCGAAACTACTTTTTTTAAAGTGGTTGACATGATATCTTAAATTCTACCACACCGATTCCTTTAAAATTTAGTGGGAATTTGCTTTATATATCTCTCTATCGCGTCTGCTACGGATTTTAAAAAATTTCAATTTGGAGTATTTTTAAAAAATTCGAAAAGGTCAACAAAAGGGGTAAAAAAATTGATATTTTATGTCGACGCCATTTTGTGAATTTTTTTTTTTTTGCTATAGTCAACGCGATAGTGACATACTTACAGATTGAGAATTTTTCAATTTTTTTTGTTCCATATCACTACAAGGGCTGGAATCATGTCAACCAGAGTGCACCGTTTTTTTTGTAGCGCCCACTTCACCGGCCTGTAATTTGTCAAATTTATCATTTTTTTTTTCAAATTTTTTTTTATATTCTTGAAATGTCAATAAACATCATATAAAAAAACGGATAGTAAAAATGTTTTTCATTTTTTTTTATGTTAGTTTGAAAAATGCCTAAAATTTAGGCTTCTAGACCAGAATACCCCCTTAAAGGACCAACTACTCTCTCCAATATTGCTGAGTGATTCGTTGAAAGTACAGCTGTGGACTCGATGCATTGTGTTTTTTTGGGAGTTGTTAAACAAAACCTGAGGTTATGCTTCGATTCTTTGTTCAGCGGATGCGAATTTTCTTTACGGAAAAGTATCAAGTATGTTGATGAAAAGATAAAAAGTATTAAACCACCTTCTTACACGTCACGATTACCACGCAGCGTTTCTGATTATAAGTACTGGAAAGCATCTGAGTTGAAAAATTGGCTTTTATACTATTCACTCGTGATTTTAAAACCTATCATGACTGCTGTATATTACGAACATCATAAACTTCTAGTGTTAGCTATAAGTTATTTGAGTCAAAGCAGCATTTCTCAAGTGATAATTGACGCCGCACAAAAAGCATTGGACAAATACGTCAGGCAATATCCAAAACTGTGTGATCCTCAACACATGACGTGTAATCTTCACCAATTACGCCATTTAGCCAAAGATATCTTCAATTTAGGGCCTTTACCTATATTTTGATGTTTTTCCCAAGAAAATTTGAATGGTATTCTAAGACGTTTAACACATGGCACTCGAGACCCCCAACTTCAAATCACTAAAATTATTCCTATTTTTTCAAACATAGCAGAAATGAAAAATGTTCATTTACATCCCGGTAATGACATTGTTAATTTTTGTAGAACTTTAGAAAAAAGTAATTGTCGCCGAAAACTCAATTACATTTCTCAAAAAGTTGCAATTCTCGGTCGGCTCTATGAAATTAAAACTATGCCAAGAACTATGGGGAAAGTGTTGTTTCAAGCTGGAATTTTGTTATATGATAAATGCTATTATTTTAAACGCCTTTTCAAAAATAATATCGTTTTTGAATCAGAATCTTACGAACGGAGAAGAAAAACGATATCTTATGTCGTTACATATAAATTAAATGACCTAGAGTCTATCGGTATTGTACATACATTCATCAAACTTTTAACCGTTAACCGTAATAATGATATTGACAGAACTTATTACTTATTCAATAACGTCTTAAACTTAATTATTTAAACTATTGCAAGTTTTATTTTTGAAAAAATTTACTTTTCAGATTTTACGTCGTATTCTAAATTCAGAATTTATTATCTATGGGCCGTCTTTAATTAATATCGTGGGGCCATTCTAGTAGAACATGTTCGGCTGATGATAGTTCACCATGGCTGGGCCATAATATTTGTCAATGCTCGGCCGATGATAGATTGCCATGGCTGGGCCCAAGTTAGCTTCCAGCTGTTACCCGTTGAACGGCTAATCTCGGTTGCCATTACTGTGCCAGGCTAATATGCTTGGCACCCAATCATGGCCCGACAGTTGGCCATTCATAAAACCCTACACGGGATGAAAACTCGATTTTTGCAAAACCGGGTAAAACCAACAACTTCCCGATTTTTCAAATTTTTAATTTTCTTAGCGGGAGGTTAAAAATCTAAAAATAAGTTCCCGGGGAAAAAAAATTATATATAATAATATAAAATTATATCTAATTATGTATAATTTGATCTAATTTGATAAAAATATATATAAAATTTAATATAATTATGTATAATTTGATATAATTTTGTATAAATATATAAATTTATACATAATGATATATAATGTTATCTTCTCGGGGAAAAAAATTTTTATATAATAATATATAATTATACAAAACTATATAAAATTATGTATAATTTTATATAATTTTGTATAATTATATATAATTTTATCTAATTATACATAATTGTTAACTTAAAATTTTATTTAAATATATATAATTATGTATTATTTTATATATTTTTGTATAATTAATATAATTTTATTTACCAGGGAAAAAAATTTTAAATAATATGATATAGTTATATAAAATTATATATAATCATACAAAACTATATGAAATTATGTATAATTTTATCTAATTATACATAATTGTAATTTAAAATTTTATATAAATATATATAATTATATAAAATTCTATATAATTATACAAAATCCTATATAATGTCTGAGCAGAATTTTCCGAAAATTCACAAGTTTTCTCAATTTTTTCAAAATAACAAACTATATTGGAATCACAGAAAATACAACTAATTGAGAATTTGTAAAGCGTAAAATTCTCCACAGATATAATTTAAAACATTTTTCTATTTGTTCATTAATTTAAAAAATAGAGTGATTCAAAGCTGCACCAAAGATACAGTTGACAACACGTTTGAGAAATCTAATGTAATTTTTCAATTATAAAATACTTTAATATAATCAGCGTTAAAAATTTTTTTTTTTTGATAAATTTTTACTTATTTTGCAAAATGTTGAAAAAATCAATTGAACAGGACTTTAATTGTAAATAAAATATGACCAAAGTACCCCACTACGATCTGACTTACGTTATATGATCATGAGGGCAAAGTAGTACATAGTAAAGTAAAAAGCAAACCTTCTTTGTTAAATTTTCCAACTACTAGTTAACGTAAAAAATCAGTCGAATAGCCCAAAAAAGATAGTCAATTTTACGTGGGTTTACTCGATTAAATAGCATTACTTTCAATTGGACTCGGGAGGTTGTTTCTAGATAGTTCAACAGAATATTATAAAATTCCAGAACAAACTGAATGACGATCACTATTTGTTAATTAATTATAGGCAATTGAAAAAATGCTAATTAAGTAAATTCTTCTTCCGAGCTGATTGATTTTAGATTTTCGAGGTGCAGAAATGAATTATAGAGCTTAAAAAAAACAGTAATTTTTTTTAATTAGAAATTTTCAGTGCCTATCCACATGCTTCCTAATCCAAGCTTTATACATTAATGTAAAATACATTGTTTATTGATTCTCTTATTTGATACATATCGATTTATAGTGATTTATGTCGACATTTTTAGGCTTGAACAATACTAAGTGAGTAAAGTTTCCCGTTTGACCAATCATCAGGAATCATAGCTATTTATTTGCAAGTTTTGACTAACGGCGAACTTCAAAGACTTTCATCTATTTTAAAACATCCACGTCTGACCAATAGCACAAACATTATAAACAATTCAAATTTCAGTCTAGTTTTATAAAGAAATGATTTAACTCTCAGGAAAATATTCGGATCACCTTGAAATTTTAACAGCTCACTTCTTAAATAGGATGATTTATATATAATCATATAAAATTATATATAATTTTTTCACTAGGGAATAATTACAATAAAAAAGAAAGGTTAACCATAAATAACAGATAAAATCAAAAATTAAAACTACTACTTCCGTGATGCTCCATGAAATATTGAAAAATTTTATGGAATTTTCATAAAAACCCAGCCTATCGTAGGTTTCAATTCAAATAAAACAAATAATGTCCTTTAGTTGTATCGAGTCATCCGGATCAGTGGTAGCGCGCAGGACTGGCAACTAGAAGGACCCGAGTTCAAATCCCGTCGACCCTCAGAATTTTTCATCAGATATTTGATCGCAAATATTCTGTGAGCCCCAGTTCCTACTTATTTTTAATTTAAAAATTAAAAATAATTTTTTTATATAATTAAAAAAAAATATTAAATTTTTTTTATATAATTTTATATAATTATATATAATTTTATGTAATTATATATAATTTTTTCCCCGGGGAGTACAACTTGAATAAAATAAAATCTTCTTGAGAGTAAAATTTCTAATCTGGGCATATCACAATTATTCGTGATGAATAAATGTAGAAAGTACTTTAATTAAAATTATCCGTCAATGAATCTCAAAGTTATTTTGCAAAAAATTTTTTATAAATGAAGGTGATTTGTAATAATCATGATTAAAAATATTGTATAAGTCAAACATGATTAATTGTAATACTTTTGTTTTTTATTTAAATGAACGGCAGAAGGCAATTATTCTTAAAAATTAAAATAATGATATTATTCCTTAGTTTTGGTCATGAACGGAAAAATTTCTGCAGAATTTTTATCTTGAAAAGCCAAAATTTTTATTTTATTACAGTAAAAAATATATTGAATTTAGAAATTAAAAACGTTATTTTATCGACCTTTTTTTCTGTGTAATTGAATGTTTTTTAGTAATTATTTTATCAACGTCTATATTCAGTATTTACATGGGAGGTTAAACTGCTGTTTTTCGTTTCTATCATTATTATCTTTTATTATTGATATAAATATCACGAATTTGATCGGTGAGCCATTCAATAGCCGCCTGTAATCCGTCTCCAGTAACGGCATTCGTAGCTCGTATGTGCCAAGGCTTATTGTAGATTCTGTCGAGTCCTAGAGCTGCAACAAGCTTGACAGCCGTTATTGAATCCGGTAAATCCATTTTATTTGCCAAAAATAAGATCGGAATTTTGCGTCCTGTCAAAAATAAATGCATTTATTAGTATTCAATACACTTTTAATGTGAAAATTCAAAAGAATTAATATGTAAGTTTTTAATAACATTTTTTATTAATAATTACCAACAATATCTGGATGCTGAAGTAACATATCTAGTTCTTCTTTGACGACAACCAATCGTAGTTTATCGCTGCTGTCAATAATAAAAATTATTCCTTGACAATCTTTGTAATAATGTTCCCACAGTGATCGGTACCGATCATGCCCGGACATGTCAAATGCTGTGAAGTGAACATTTTTAACTGCAACAAATTAAACATTTATGTTTCATTGATTTGAAAAAAGAAAAATTCCTTTTTTTTACGTAAAGCATCAATTTTTTACACTTTAAGAAACGTGACTAAGATTTGAATTTTTGGAGTTTACTCCTTAAGAATCGATTTTCATATATAAGGCACCCGGTATGAGAAAAATATGAGGGGTAAAATCTACTGATGAATGACCTCGTTACGTTTTTGGTGCGCAACCTCTATTCTGCGCGAACTTTCTCTTTTTAGGCGCGAGCATTCAAACGTTCACGGGGTATGTTGTGGGTCAGCTTACGCATTAAGTATACCTATATATGTTATTAGTTATGAGTAATAACTTATTATTATATAATAGTATATTGTGTGACTAGGGGTGAAACAAAACGATTTCGGAACCAGAGTGAAGTTGCCTGCCCGAGCGAAGCGAGGGCTGGCATCACTCGGTCTGAAATCGTGTTTCATCCCGCGTCACACATTATATTTTTCATATAAGTTGCATTAAAAATGCTAGTTTTAAATGTCTGGAGCCAACCAGAACTAGATAGTTTCAGACGAATAGCGAAAATACCATTTTATTATAAAACTTATAATAAAATTGAAAGTAATAGTTTATTTTTTATCAAATATTATTCGTAAATTGAATAGTTTTCTTTTGTCATTCGTATTTGTGTTTAATAACATAATTATAATATGTCAGTATAATTAACGGTTAGAATGACAATTATAAAGGTATAAAATAAACAAACAATTGATAGGATTGAAAATAAAGCTGCAACTGCATCATGTGGGCAGTAATTCGTCATTTTCTGTCCGCCGGGAAGGAATGATTGATTCCTGCCCGGCACAGTCGCATTGGTCTGAAATTGTCAAGTTTCGGTTGGCTCAACAGGCATTGAAACTCGCATTTTCAATGCAGGTTATATGAAAAATATATAGGTATATAAATATACAGCCACGCGCATTAATTCAAATAGGTATTCAAGTTTATAGTTGAAGTAAAAATTGTATAAATTCGCCCGTGTAAAAAAAATCGTCTTAAAATTGTCGTTCGTTTAA